GGTGTTGAACGCCCAGGTTTACACTCTTGTTACACCCTACCTGCAGACCTCAAGGGAAAGGGTCCCTGAACTGCAACTCACCTGCCGACTGGGGGTAAGACAACACAGGTCCCAAGCCCGGCCCGCCACCCGTCACATGAGAGAGTGGTGATGAGAGGGTGTTGTGGACCCCTGCCCGAACTCACAGGCTGGATTCTCCTGTCCTTTCTCAGGAGGATGGAGGACGGGGCAAGGAACAGGGCCAGCATGGCCTGAGGAGGAGGAGGAAAGATGGGCGGGAGGGCATCAGCTGACTCCAGGGTTCTGCCATCAACCACAGGCCCCCCTGGACCTCCTGGGTGGGGGAGGTCCAGTTCACGGGGAGACCCCCGAGCCACAAGAGCTCTGCTGTGTCCTCCTCTGGCCGGGACCACAGGCCAGTCATACAGCCCCGAGGCTTCCGGCCCAGCCAGCCAAGCCTCTCAGAGGAGAGCCAACGCTGTCGTGTTTTAAACACACGTTACCTCTCACAAGGTATTTAAAGGCGTCCCAGCCATGCATCTGATCAGCTAGGTACCCACCAGGTGCACGATGCTGGCAGGGTCTAGGCAGGAGGGGCAGCCCTGGGTGGGTGTGGGGCCACATGGGGGCCCCTGGTCCTGGGTGGGGCCAGGGGGAGAAGCCCACCCTGTGGGCTGGCCTTGATGAGAATGCCAGGCCTGGACCAGCTGACAGGGGGTGGCAGTGACGCTGGCTGATGAAATAAATCGTGTCCAGAAACGTGTTTGCTGGGAGTCCAGTCCACCCAGAGCTGGGGGGCAGCCTCCTGCAGGAGAGCCAGGGGCTGGGCCCAGGCAGCTGCTCCCCGAGCCCTGAAGCACCAGTGGAGCAGCTCCCCGAGTTCTTCCACCCCAGCTACGGAGGGCAGCGGATGTCCTTGTCTCAATTCAAAGTGTCCCTCACATACATCGCTTTGTGGCTTCCACCACGTGCAGCCCCAGCATCCACGCTAATTCTTCCGAGTTCCACTCCTTCCTGTGCCTCTCCCCCAGCCTCTCCACAGTGGTGGTCTCCGACTGGCCCTCCTGGCCCTCCTGGCCATGCCCCAGGCAGTTTCCTGGGACAAGCATCCCTGCTGACTTATAACTCAGTCCTTGCCTCTCCAGGCCATGTCTCCTGACTCCTTGTGATTAAAGGCCTTCCTTTTCCTGTAGGAATGCCCTAAATACGCCCTGCCCTGATGCCCACATGGGCTCGCTCCTGCAAGGCTAGTGGTGGGCTGCCTTGTCTCTGGTGCCGCCCCGGGGAAGGGGGGCAGTGTTGCATCCTCTCTGATCTCTGCTCGTCTCCCAGCTTCTTGGGAGTCTCCCATGCTCAGACGACACCTGGCAGACCGTCCAAGACCTCTCTGCGGTGGCCTGGCAGAGGGAGGAGGGGTAGGGAGGATGCTCAGACGACACCTGGCAGACCGTCCAAGACCTCTCTGCGGTGGCCTGGCAGAGGGAGGAGGGGTAGGGAGGAGTCCCTGGGTCCCTCCTGTGCCCCAACAGTGGTGACAAGCTGACAGGCCTGGTGTGTGGGTGGAGAGGGCTGGACAACTCCAGGAGGCCAGGCTTCCCAGAAAACAACCCCTCACCAATGGTGGGGGTGTGTGTCCCTACGATGCTGGAAGGGATTTGGATCCAGTCTTCTATCTGATACAGAAGAGCCTCTTAATGCATCCGAGACAAGCACCTACCAGCCTCTCCTTGAACACCTCTAGGGACAGGGAGCTTGCTCTCTCTTACCGAGCTGTAAATGCCCTTTCTGTGTGAGGCTCCATCTGCCCCAGCCCACTCTCAGTTGTGTAAAAGGATTGCTCCCGCCTCCCCATGCCAGTGCTCCTTGCCCCAGGGCAAACTCCCTGGCTCCCTGCTCTGCCCGGAGGAGCATGCTGGCTTTCTCTGGGACTCCATGCAGCTCTCCCCACAATTCGGACCTCATCGCACCCTCACCCCCACCCCCGGACCAGCCCTGCTACCAGCAAAACACTGCAGCCCTCGCCCACCGGATCACAGCCTCAAAGCCACACAGGCCCCTCCCTGGATGCAACAGGCTCTTGGCTGGCCCTAGGGAACAGATGTCCACCCTGGAGTAGACGCCCAGCCTGGGCACGGCCGTGACCCCCCAGGGCTTCTGCTGGCCCTGCCACATCTTTACAGCTGGGAAGCACAAAGCTGCCTGCTAATAGGAAACCTAGCCTCTGCCACACCGGGAGGTAGTAAACATGGTGAGTCTGTGGGAGTGGACTGGAGCAACCCCGGGGCTATAATTTCCACTCCCTGACATGATACAGGCTTCTCAGTTTAGGCAGAACTAATTAAAGATGTCTTAGCTCTGCCATGCGGTACCGCCAGGCTCCCATAAAACATCGTGGTGATGGCGGCTGCCTGATTACAGCGAGTGACCGAATCCCTTCCAAGCCTCCACCTTGCCTGTCCCCCACACTCCCCGCCCCCTGCCTCTCGGTCTTGCTGGGGTCTGTCTCCCCTGCCTCCTTCCTTGATCCCCCAAGCCAGGATTGGGGTACGGGAGGGGCTCCTTTAGCAGGCAGGATCATAGGAGGCTTGGACTCCAGAGCGGCCCACACTTGGACTTGAATTCCTGCTCTGCCACTTATGAGCCCCGGGACCCTGGATGCCTCAGCTTCCCTGCTTGTTAACTATAGACTACTAGTCTGTCTGTCGGGGTTGGGGGCCAGTGAGTGATGACTGTTATCATACTGGTCCTTCTGTGATGGTAGGGAGTGTGGAGGAGCACGGGCACTCAGCTGTTGAGCACAGGGTGGGCGGTTTGAGCCCACCCCACTGATGTGTGGGAGAAAGATGTGGCAGTTGGCTTCTGTGCAAGGCGCACAGCCTTGGGAACCCTGGAGGCTTCTGAACCAGCACGCCCACTCACTGAATCTTTATAATCACTGCAGAGTCCCTGGGTGGCACAAAGGATTAACTCGCTCTGTTGAGGACCAAAAGGTTGGGGGTTCAAGCCCACCCAGGGGTATCTTGGAAGAACCTGAAAATCCATTTTCAAAAAAGCAGCCATTGGAAACTCTCTGGGGTGTCACCCATCCTGAGACCAGAAGCACTAGATGGAGCCTCACATCACAAACACCTGTTCCAACCAGGAACACAGTGGAGAGTCTCAGATCAAATTCTTTTTTTTTTAAAAAAGCCCTAACTTCCTGAGCGGACAGAGACTACAGGACAACCCCACCATCACCGCCACTCCCCCGAGATTATGTCCTGTGATACCCTTTACTCTTGGAACTCCACCCACTCCTGGCGGTCAACTGTCAGCCCCAATAATAAAATGAACAGGCCACCTGCGAAGACAGTGTCCCTTTAAGTCATCTTCTGTCTGAGACCCGAGGGCCAGTGTTAACTCGCAGACAAAACTGAGGAGGCAAAGGGTGGGGCAGGGCTGCTGCATGAAGGGGAACAGAACCCCCAGCCTGACGGAGAATGCGACGCGTAGCCACTGTTCAGGAAGAAGGGAATGCACTATGTAAATGCATAACCCTCCCCAAATCAATTCATCACACAAGCCAACAGACAAGGGTTGGGGGACCCTTGGTACCCCGTGAGGTACAAACCAAAGCCCTGTGGAGCCCAGTGCTCCTTGGACACACCGGGGTCACCCTGAGTAGGAATCAATGTGGCGGCCACTCGTCCTGGCATAGCCATTTCCAGTGACCACCCTCTGGGCCTCTGCCCCAACCGCTTTTCTACCTGAAATGCCATCTGCCTTCACAGTTCCTGGCTGACAAACCACACACCTGTGGCCCACTTGCACCGAGACGCAGCCATCGCAGGCGGCTGGCGCCCATGGCTTTGCTGGGCTGGTCTTGCTGCAGCCAACACAGCACAAACAAAAATGGATGTGAATGGGCACCCGAATAAGGCTTGTGCCCTGGGCCCGCCACGCTCTAAGGAAGCCTGTCCAGCTTCCTGGCGTCTAGAGGCCACAGAGAGCAGGAAGGCACCCCAACCCACAGCCAGCCCCAACCACCCAACCCATGCATGAGGCCCTCTGGGCTCCTCCAGGCTCTGCACAGATCACGTGATGCAATGGCCTATGTGAGCCCCTGCCAGACCAACAAAACCACCCACAAAGAAGTCAGCATTGTAACTCAGTATGTTTGGGGGTGGGGGGTTGGGGGTTACACAGCAATGGATAACCAATGCACCCACCATTCTTCACCAGCAGGGCCGAGCTCACCCGTAGCTTCTTCCAGAAGATGCCCCAAGGTCCCCCAACCAGAGATGAGCCTCTCTGCTCCCTGTAGCCCCCCAGCACTGCGCTCTGAGCATGTTCTGTATGGCCTGCTTTACCAGAGCTCTCCGTGCAGAAGTCTGGGCAGAGACCCCTCCACATTCCTACCAGCTTCAGAATGGAGCTCTGCCCAGCGCGGGCCACCCTTTCTGGATCTGTGGGCTATCAGTTATGCCCCTGACTTACCCAAGGCCCGACTGCCTCGGCACTCCTCACCCTCAAAGTGAAGATAGGAACTGCACGTGGACCAATTATGTGAGGTTCACACTGAGTCGTGTGTGCACCAAAATATACTGTGAATCATCAAACCCCCACCCGTGAAGCCCTTCTTGGTGACCATTAGGGGCAGCTGGGTCCTCTCCCCAGCTCCTTACCTTCCGGCCATGGTAGCCCTGGATTCCAGGATCTCCCTGGAGGGACAAAGGAAAGATCATTAGAGGGACTTCCTCAATGCCAAACTTCCCCTTGTGCTGTCCCCTTTGCCCTCCCGGTGTCCCCCATCCTCCGAGAAACTATAAGCCCTCCTGATCTCTTAGCCCATCTCCAGCCTGCCTCGAACCCTGGTTCCTCAGCCCATCTCCAGCCTGCCTCGAACCCTCCAATGCCAACAGACTGCTGTGCTCAAAACAAGCTCCCGCTTCTCGGGGACAGAAGAAGGCAGAGGGGGAGGGCCAACTTGGCCCAGGAGATCTGAGTTTCAGTTTTGGTCCCACGACTGACCGTCTCTCTGTCTGACCTTGGACATGTCCCTTCCCCCAGGGCTCCGTGTCCATTTATCAAATGCTTGGGCAGGATCTGTCCTTTGCAGCTTCTCTTCCCCAGGGCCCCAGGCTCCTGAGCTTCAAAGGAGGAGCCTGTGTGTTGCTGTGGACTCTGGGTAAGGTTTCACCAGGGACCGGATGACCCCAGAGGAGCCTCCCCATCCTGACACCATAAGAAATATGTCTTGCGAGGACACTGTGGCAATGCCTTGCCCATCAGCCTTGAGCTTCCAGTTCCCTTCTCTTTTCACACCAGCCGTAGCTCTGGCTCAGAAGCCGGCAAAGTTTGGGAAACCAGCCAAGCTTTATCCATCTCTGAGCTGAGATCCCCACACCTCAGCAGCCCTTCGTGCCCGCCGCCACCTCCCTTCTGCAGGGAACGCTCTCACCCCCTCCGCACGACACCCCCAGGGGCCCTTACCTTAGTTCCAGGAGGCCCAGGTAAGCCCTGCGGAAGAACAACAGGGTGAGGCTTGCACTCGTGAATGGTTGGCAATAGCCATGCTGAGGGAGTCTCTGGGCGGCACGTGGTTAAGCTCGGGACCATGAGCTGAAAGGTTGCAGACTGAACCCGCCCAGGGGCCCCTGGCAATCTGCAGCTTGACAATGCACAGCCTGAGACCTTCAGAGCAGCTCTGCTCTGCACCAAAAGGCCAGCCCTCAACCTGATGCTCAGCAGCAGCAGCAGCAGCAGCAGCAGCGGGGCTGACGTGGAGGCAAGAGGAACCCCCCATAGTGGGCGAGCGGGCGGCTCCCTATAGAGAACCAACGGGCATGGAAGGGTGCCTGGAAACCATGGAGGAACCGTGGGCACAGGCGGGGTCCTCGTGAGCCACACGGGAGCCGTGGGTGTCTCCCCTGGGCTTGGCCACTGAAAAATAGGTCAGCGGCATCATGGTCAGTTGACAGTGTGGTTTGGCTTAGAGCCCCACCCACCCACTTCCCACGTGGGACTCCTCCTGAAGAAACCCTTCAGGGTTTTTCCACCCTGAGCCCTGGCTGTCTGCGGAAAAGCCCTCAGTCTCCTCAGGCTCCTGCTGGGGCCCTTCTGCCCAGGCTGGGGCAGCGATGCGACCGGGCTGCATGCGGTGGGAACTGTGTGGGCAGCAGGGGGTCTGCCTGCTGGAACTTAAAAGAGAAGACAGAGAGGGTGGGTGCCACCCACCACAGGTGCTGGGTGTAGGGCTGGGCAGCAGCCGGCACTGGAGAAACCGAGGGGTCCAAGTTTGCTCTGTTATAATTGGTTTTGAAAACATTCTCCCACGGGGCATTCTTAGGGCTGTGAAGTGGCCCTGTATGCTATGATCTCAAGCGAACACATGGCATTAAGCATCTGCCGAAGTCCGTAGACTGTACAGCACAGAGGGACACCTCTGGTGAATCAGGGACTTCAGTGGCTAATTGGTTTCCTCCACGGAACCGAAACGAGATTCACCCAAACCATGCTCTCTGCCCTCCAGGTGGTTCAGAGCAACCCAGTAGGACGGGGTAGAGCTGCCTTTGTGGGTTGCCGAGACGCTAAGTCTTCACTGGATAGAAAGTCTCATCTTTCTCTATCAGAGCAGCTGGTGGTTTCGAACTGCTGACCTTGCAGTTAGCAGCCCAATGCACTACCCACTCTGCTACCAGCGCTTCCTACTGAAACCACAGTACCACAGATGCCAACAGGAAACCCTGCAGGTGTGTGTAAATCGTAGCCATGCATGCCCTTCACACCTTTTCTGTAAACCTAAAATGTCTCTAAAATAAGAAGATCTTTTTTAAAACTTGAAAAAAAAAAAGGAACATGCGTTCTGATGTTCTTTTTGCTATACACACTTAACAGAGCAAACCCCCTAGGTGTGGTTCAGGGAGGGAAAAGCCCATGGTTTGAGTGAGGGTGATCAGCAAAAATAAAATGTGTTTTAAACTCTTTTTGGTTTTCCCAGCTTGGTTTGGTTCCTTCCACTAAATTCCGCTTCCTTTCTATTTTTGCCACGATCTCATCTAGCAACCCAGGGAAGGGCGCCCAGGCCCGCTCTCGGGGTCCTGGGAAGAGCTTGCAGGAAGATTTAGACCCTGTGACTAGGCGAGGCGTGTTGGGGAGGGAGGGATGCAGGCGCTCAGATGCCACCTTGCCTACCTCCTTCAGAACCCAGTGCCCCCGACCCAGGTGTTCCTAGCCTGGGGGTCAGGCGAGAGCTCTCAAAAGGAGGCCTGGGGACATCCTCTCCACGCTCCTCTCTACGGAGCCTGGGGAAGGGCCACCGGCTGGTGAGTGCCCTGAGCAGAGCTGAGGACAGATGCTCAGGGCATATGGGCCCAGGGCTGCTTTCCACGATGAGCACCCCCCGCCACGGTGGTCTTTCTGCCACTCGGCAGGGACCTGGGTTCCTGTGGGTTACTCAAGTGTTGGGTGCTTTCCGAGAATTTGGGCGACAGGTCTTTCAGGTTGGGAGGCAATAGGTAGAGGAAAGGGGTACTTACGGGTGGCCCCATGGGCCCTGGCAGTCCTGGGTGCCCCAGAGGTCCAATCGGTCCAGGAGGGCCTGGGGGGCCTGGGGGGCCTTGGATGCCGGCCTGGCCCTGCTCACCCTGAGGTTCGTGAAGACACGCATTAGCGAGAGGACCCCCGGAGCCCAGGGCAGTGCCCGCCCAGTGCCGTGCACCCAGTGAAGGCCCGCTGTGGCTGTGGTGACTGTGGGGATGAGACGGGATCGTTGGAGGGTGGTGACTACATGCAAGTGCTGGTGGCAGTGAGGAGCGAGCCAAGACAGCGGGACCCCAAGAGGTGGGGCTTCCAGAGAGGGCTTCTTTCACAGAGAGGCTGGCACCGTGCCCAGAGCCCGGCTGTGGCAGCAGGGGCAGAGGCCAGTGAGGAGTGACTGCAGCCCAACCACAGACCTGGTACCAGCCAGGTCAAGTGGTCTGAGTCCAGTCTCGGCCAGCTGAGGTGGGGCCTGCCTTTGCCAACTCTCTGTGTGGCAGGCCCGTCATCGCTCTAAGGCTTGGCCTCCCAGCCACAGCTGAGCGTGGGCTTCTTGTCTCGGCAACTTGCCGCCGTGGATGATCTTGCCAGAGGATAAAACAAAGTCCTGGGGTCAGAGGGCACAACATTTTCCTGGTCTCACTAAACAATTGGGCAAGAGATGGTGACTTCCGTAGGATCTAGGCCCCCTGGTTTCTTCTGGGCCTGCAGTCAGCCGGGTGGGTCTGAGTTGTGGGTGCCCCATCAGACAGGGCCTCAGTCCCCACCCTCCCTACCCTTTCACATATGTGGTCTGCTCTGTCTTTTATGTGAGCTGCTTGGCTTCAGAGAGCAATTAGCTTGGCTGAAAGTGTTTTGAAACTCAAGTGTTTTTGGGGCCTGTATGCAGTTGCTATTATTATTCTCACCCCCTGTCCTGACTCCCACCCAGTGGTTCAGAGACCAGCCTTTGTCACTGGGCCTGTGCCCAGAAGTGACCGAGAGTCCAGCCAGGTAGGGGCAGCACTGAGTTCCTTTAGGAAGATCCTTTAGCAGTTGCTAAAGGATGCTGATTCTGACTCATGGTACCCCAGGCGTGTCTGCGTAGAACTGTGAGCCATGGGTGTTTCAAAGGTTGAGTTCTTGGATGATCACCCAACCTTTCTTCCGGGGCTCCCCTGCATGGGCTTGAATCTCCAGCTCTGTGGTTAGTGGCTTAGCACATTAACCATTTGTACCAGCCGGGAACACCTTTCCAGATCTAGGTAGATGAAAACCCACTTTGGTCATTCTTTGAATTGTCAAAGAGTTAGTATCTAAGTGACCTCTTTGAAGGGGTCAATCCTGTGGATGGGACCAAGCAGAACAACGTGGCAGGGCTCTATGCTGGGGTGCAGGGGAGGCAGGTCCTGGGGTGCCAGCCTACCCTCAGCTCTCTGCTTCCTGGGGGGTAAAGGGAGCAGATGGAAGCTCTGTAGTGGGACACGGCAGGGCAAACAGGAGCACGCACTACAGAAAGAGAAACTTGGGATTCTAGCAATGTCTGCTCCCACTATCTCTTGGGACACTCTGAGGTGACAGCACCCTGTAGTGACACTCAGGGGGGCCTGAGCCTCGTCCTGTGGCACCCTCTGGAAATGTGGGTTAGGGCTCAGTGTGCCCACCTTGGAGGAACCACGGCAGACATCACACTGGTAGGGCCCCTGCCTGCAGGCCTGCCCGCCTCCACCACCTAGCTTTGATGAGCTGGCTGTTGATGAGCCCAGGGGCCGTTCACGGTGGCTGCTCTCCTGAACCAGGGATGCTGACTGAGAACCTCGCCTTCAGGAGGGCACTGGCATAAACTTCTTTTAACCGGAACCTGCCCCTGGAGTTGTCTCACAGCCTAAGACTCCCCAACATCAGTGTCTTGCTAGGGCTTCTGTATTTTTGGAAAAGGGGTAATTCACAGGGAGGAGCCCTTGGGTGGTGCACCCAGTTAAGTGGTCAATGATTAGCCTCAAGACTTTTGGTCTGAGCTCACCCAGAAGTACCTCGGAAGACAAGCCTGGCCATCTGTGCTTCTGACGATCAGAGACTTGAAAATCCCACAGGGCACAGTCGCCTGGGCACACACAGGCTTGCCAAGAGTGGAAGGCAGCCAGCCTGACAGCCACCACCAGCTACAATTCACGGGTCCGCAGACTTGCCTGAAACCAAGTGCCAGGCCCTTCCTGACCTTGAACTTCTAGACTCTTCATAGCAACCCAAGTGCTATTCGACAGAAGAGGGTGCAGAGGCTCAGAGAAGTTGAACTCCCTGACCATGGTCAAGGGAGAATTCCGGGCAGGATGAGGGCCCACGCCCAGAATGCCACACTCAGCTCCCGTTCTTCCAACAAGACCCCAGCAAAAAGCTCTCCCAGCGCAGCTTGCTGCGCTTGGGGAAAGAACCCCATCACCATCTGGTAAGCACACCGCATCCCATATAAACGTTCCTCTTTTAACTAGTGCAAACACACCGTGTAAGTGCCTTGCAGAGCCTGTAAAATCAATACCGGTTTATTGATAGGAAATAGACTTGCTTCGTTATGGCCCCAGAAGACCAACAACGCAAATGCCTTCCTCTCCAGGCTGAGTCTGGGCCCGGGCCTCGCCCCACTCTCCCGTGGAAACCAGGTCCAGGCAGCGCAGATGACCCTGGTCTTTCCAGCCTGTGTGCTTGGGAAAGGAGGAGCAAAAGGCCGGGACCTGGATGGAATCTGGATGGGCCTTTCTCAGTGTCTCCATCTATCCAGTGGCTACAGGGGTACCCAGGGTGGCCTAAAAAGGCCCCTGGGTAAGTCCTGGGCTACTGACCACACAGTTGGCAGTTTGCATCCAACCAGACGTCCCTCAGAAGAAATGCCTGGTGGTCTGCTTGTGGAAGGGGAAAGCCATGGGCGCTCCAAGGAGCTCAGTTCTACCCGACACACATGTCACCAGGACTCCAAACAGATTCCCTGGCAACGGGGTGTGGTGCCTGGTGTGAGGGTGACATGGCCTGGGGCCCAGCAAGGGCAGCTAGTATGACTGCCATCACAAGGTAGCTGCCGGAGTCCCGGCACGCATGGGCACTGACTGCCAGCACTCCCGGGGGCTGGCTGGCAGGGTGGGGCTGGTGGCAGTGGGGACAGAGTGTCCGGAGGCTCTCGAGGATTTGACCGTGGTGACAGGGTGTACGGCCCATGGGCTCAGGTCACACGTGCATTACGCCTCCCTCGGTATTTTTAGCTGTTGATGGGCATGACTTTCAGTCGTGTTCGGTCGGATGCCTGGATGGCAGGCCTCTGGGCTTCTACTTGTCCATTCTAGACAGTGGCCCCACGGCCCCATGGCCACCCTCCAGAGACCGTCACAGGACTCCCAGAGGCACGGCCAGTTTGGGAAGATCTCCTGAGCACGAGGGGGAAGGCTGCTTGCTCTTCACAAGCCTGTCCTCCCGGCCGTCCTAGCTGGACAGAGCATGCAAGCTTTTGCTCAGAACAGTGACACTTGCTGGTTGGGGACTACATTCCTTCTGCAAGTCCCCTTCTTCCTCACATTCATGTGACAAAGGATTCGATGCTAAGTGTCTTCAAAGTAGGGCCCAATCCTGTACTTCTCAGTGCACAGAGTGGATGTTGAACCAGGAGGGTCCTGGCTGTGGGGGCCAGGAGCCCCGGCTGCCAGTTCCAACTTTGATTCTTTCTATTTGTTTGACTTTGGACAAACCAGCGCACTTCTCTGAGCCTCAAGCTCCTCCTCTCCAAACATGCATGATAGCAACAATGGCCACGAACATGATCCCTGGGATAGGACTGACACCGTGCCAGGTCCTGTCCTCGGCGCTCCACAGACAGGTGGCCATAAGTGCTCCACTATGGCGGCCCTGTGGAGGTACTCTAATGGTCCTCAGGCTCCAAAGGCCCAGAGAGGCCAAGTCCTCACCCCCAAATCACACAGCAAGTAAGAGACAGAGAACCCAAAACACCAAGCTCCCTGCCATCAGGTGGATGCTGACTCATAGGACAGGGTAGAGCCCTGGTGAGTTTCTGAGACTGTCACTCTTTATAGGAGTAGAAACCCCCTGTCTTTCTCCCAAGGAGTGACTTTTGGTTTGGAACTGCTGACCGTGGGCTAGCAGGCCACCGTGTGACCACGATACCACCAGCGATGTGAGAGAGAGAATAGAGAGAGAGAGAACTACAGCCTGTGCTGTAGTTTACAGGCTGTGTGACCTCGGGTAGTCCACCTACCCTCTCTGAGTCATGATTGCCTCATCTGTAAAGGACCGCCCCCCACTGCCATAGAGCTGATTCTGACTCATAACAACCCTCTAAAGGGTTCCTGAGGTGGTACATCTTCATGGTACCAGGTAGCCTTGTTTTTCTACCATGTTGCAGCTGGTGGGTTTGAATATCTGACCTTGTGGGTGGCACACAATGCCTACAACTGCTGAGAGCTGACTAATGAAACCAGGCATGTAAATCGTGTGACTCGCTCTCCTGGCAATAAAGGCTGCTGGTGGTTATGAGTGGTAATGACCATGGTGGGGCGCTGGGCTCTGCAGGACTTCCACGTCTACAGCACCGCTGGGTTGGTTTCTGTCTAATTCGATGCAACCTAACCAGAGAGCAGGTCAGGTTTCGTCTGTCTATAGCCCCAGCGGGGCTGCCAAGGACCCGAGGCCTGGGGACCCCCTCGGGAAAGCCGGGAAAGCCGAGCCACCTAGGGGCAAACGCCGGTGTCTACCTGGAAGGTCCGCCTTTTTATGACAGGGGGTGGAGCCAGCCGCACTGAATTGAGGAGAGGCAGCAGCTGAGGAGAAAGATGAGTTGGAAGGCCAGAGGGCAGAGGCCAAAGATCACAGGTGGTCAGAAGGTGCCGAAAGTCGCCAGGAAGGCAGGGTTGCAGAGAGGGGTGGGGGGAGAGGGAGAGAGAAGAGAGATTAGCCAGTGAGCGTGAGCCTGGAGGAGGAGGGGGAGGAGCACTCCCACCAGGCTCCTCCCCAGGAGGAGAGGGAGCGGAGCAGTGGCCCTCCGCCCACACCTCCAGGCTGGGGCCCAGGGGTCTGCCAGCAGCCCCGCCTGACTGGGAGAGTGGCCACGCTGGGCCCAAGAGCCCCCTTGACCCCCAGCCCAACATTGCACTGCTGGCCCCGCCCACCCGCATCGGGGAGCTGAGATTTCTGGGTGGAGGTTGGTGGGTGCAGGGGCTCTGGCTTGGGGAGCCAGCCACAGGGCCAGCTAAATTGGCACTTGAAGCCAGGCCAGCCCTGGTTTTGGTTCTGCCAGTAGGGCTGGTGCCAGCCCACCTGGGGAGGATGAGCAGGGTGTGGCAGGCCCGGCTCCTGGGGCCCCAGCCCGTGGGGGGAGGTGTGCTCTCAAGGGGCTGGGCCCAGTGGTGGTGGTGGGGGGGGGTACTTGGAAGGCTGAGCAAAGATGCCGTCAAATGCTCAACCGCTTATTAGCGGGGAGGGAGGTAGCTTTCAACCCCACCATCGAATGTGACTGTCATGTCTGGAAATTGCAGCTGCGTCCCATTCCTCTAGCCTTTGAAATGGAGGGAGCCGGGGAGGCCAGCATTGAAGTGAAAACAGAGCAGGTGTTACCTACCACACCTTTGAAAGTGTCTTAACCCCTACCGGGTCCCTGGTCCCAGGATGGGACAGAAGGTAGCCTTCCCAGCCCAGCTATAAGCAGAGCCACGGGGACCGCCCTGCCCCACTGCTAGGGCAGGAGAGGTGCAATGTTGGGCGTCGGGGTCCAGGCAGCTCTCAGCATTGGGGGCCCAAAGCCCACGCAGAGCCGACAAACCTTCAGGGTAATTATCAGGTTGGAGCGCAGAGCTGCTAGGGTGCTGCTTGGGGGCTCCTGGTTTGGGGAGGGGGTGGTGGTGGCAGAGACAGGGCAACAGGAGAGTCAGTGCCTACAGCACAGCTGGCCCAGGGGCTCTTCCCACCGCTGACCCTCCCCTGTGGCTGGATGCTGGATCCTGGAGACAGCCGCCACACACATGCCCGCAGGAACACTGCCCCACCCCACTCCCCCCCCTCGGCCCCCCCCTCCGCCCTGCTTTTGTCAATCAACTGCCCCCACCCCCACTCTCACCCCCACTGGGCTTGTTCCCCAGGCTGCCCAGGGGCCTCCTGGAGTCCGGTCCTCCTGCTTCGCTTCTTGTCTTGGGCTGGGGGCAATGTTTCCCTCCTCTGCCCCCCACCTGGTCCCTGGCCCCCGGCCCCCCGGGCCGGATGACACACAGCCGAGTGTGTGCAGTTGGAATGGCCCCGTGCCAGGGAGGCTATCTCCCTGCGAGCCCATCGTGCCAAATCCTCACAGCTGACCTCCTATTATTGTAGTGGGGCGAGGCTGGCTGGAACCCCAGGGCCCCACGGCCCTGGGGGACATGCCATCGACAGACAGGCTTTGTCAGAGCTGCTGCCACCAGCAGGCCGATGTCCCTGCTCAGGCCTGACCCCGCCCACCTCAGGAGTGACCTCACCCCCATCCCAGCACCCTGCCTGCCAGGCTCGCCAAGGCCTCGCCTTGGCCCAGGAACCCCAGGTTGGTGTCAAACCCTGGGAGCCCGGTCTTCCTGGTTTGTGACCACCCCCAGGGAGGCCCATTGCGTGTGTGTCTCTGGGCACAAATGTGGCCCAGGACAGAGAGGGACACCAGAAGACGTCCATTCTCTCGATAGGACTGAGGCTGCAGAACAGGAGGAAATTTCTGGTCGCAGTTTAAGGGGTTCTGGGTGGAGCCACACACATCTTTGCCCTCCCCTACCCCAAGGTGGTGATGGGCAAGTCAGAAGAGTCTGACAGCAGCCTTTTGGCCTCTGTATGTTGGGGTGGGGGAAGGAAAAGGTGCGGGTATGGAAAGAGGTCACCTCTGCTCTCAGGGCCCTCCTCCTACAACTGGAGAAGGCTCCCTCTATTCTTAAAGAGGCAACAAAAGAGACTTGATTCTGACTCCAGTCTCCAGCGTCAGCCCCGGGCGGCTGCCTCCACCAATGACTAAGCCCAAGTACCTCCTGTTGGCAGGGCGGGCAGCTAGACACAGACCCACAGTTGCCAGTCCGGCACACAGACTCACTTGAGCCACATAGGGGAGGGCAGTGCATGGAGACCCGCCCTCAAGCACACGCCCTCAGAACCGGGAGCTCGAGATTGCCAGGGGCAGGTGCACCCAGACTCACAGGCAGGGGGGCCACAGGCACCCTCCTGGGAGACAGCCCGATGCGTCAGCTAGCCCGCCCCCCACCTGCAACCCGCTCTCTGGCCTATTGTGGAACCTGCTTGCGCCAAGCTCCATGAGGTGCTGGGGACCCTGGGAAGGGGCTGAGCCCAGGGGTGCAGCAAAGGGCCTGTCTCAGGGGGCCACTTACCCGGTGCGGGTGCTCTCCACACTGGCCCTGGGGAAGGGAGGAAGGAGACACTGGTTGGCACTTCACCTGGGCTCATTACCTGCCAGCCCAGCTCTGCTCCCCGCCTGGAGAAGGTAACCTGCCCCCGCTTTCTCCTGCCTGGTGGCAGGAAGAAGACCCCCAGGGCCTGCTTCCAGGTGGTCCTTGGCGCCTGGGACAGGCCCATCATACGCCATTGGCCATGAGGGTGGGAGTCAGGAGTTCTGCTCCAGACCCAGTTGGGGGTGGGTGGGGGGTGGATTTTCCTGGGAAGTTCCACTTCTAGGCAGGCACACCCAACAGGAGCCTCTGGGTGGGAACAGGGATGCCTGCCTGAGCTGGAGGTGTCCCGCCCTGTCCCATGCACTCCGGGCCAAGCCCAGCAGAATCTTTATCTGAAATTTAACAAGACAGAGGAAGTGCAGTTGGAGTCAAGCCAGGGTCTACTTAAATACCCTGGAGGCAAGGGAGGGGGGCTAGCAGCCACTGTGGTGGTGTCGAGTGGGGGATGGGCAGAGAGAGGAGTTGTAGAGCCCAGCTCTCGGGGCAGCTCCCCTGACCCCTCCTGAGCATCAGCCAGAGTGCTCCACATCTGGCCCTGTCCCAGGTGACACCTCACAGGATCTCTGGGAACCAAGGGCTCTGCTGAGAAAGCCACACCATGAACCCTTGTTGACCTGTTGGGAGGCTGCTTCCTGAACATGGGGATTCTGGGAAACCTCACGGAGCTTACCTTTTCTCCCTTTTGTCCTTGGGGTCCCTGTGAAGAGTCCGAGAGGAGAGTTAGAAAGCTGGAGTCTAAGGACCCCCCACCCCCACCCAAGCATCTCCAGGAAGAGGTACCAACCGGCTGTCCTCGGGGGCCCATCAGACCCTGCAGGGAAGGAAGCACGCAGGTCAGGGGTAGGCAGAAGCAGTGGTGCAGGAAGGGGCGGGGGCGGGACTGGTCTAGAACCTGGGGCTTCCAGGTACTTTCTGGAATCCTGAGGTTGGTCTTCCTGTGTCTGAGATTTAGGTGGCCTGGCCTTAGGCAGCCCCCCTCAGCCCTCCCTCTGCTGAACAGACATGTCCGTGGGGGTGAGGTGGAGGACAGCTGTTCTCCCAGCAGCCCTCTCCGTCCTGCTGCGGACAAGGGCTGCATCTGGCTGTCTTGAGGACCCGGCCTCACTCATCCGTCTCCTCTCAGAGCGCGCGCGCGCACGCACACACACACACACACACACACACACACACACAGCAGGAGGCCCACTGAGGTACAGTGGGGAGTGGGCAGGGCTTCAGACACTGGGTGTGTGGAAGAAAGCTTTGACAGAGTAGAGGAAGCAGGAAGTTGAGAACGTACGTAAATCGTGCTCTGGGCACCTCCAGGGAGTACGAGTAACATCCCCAACCCTATGCGGAAGTGCGACACTGTCATGTGTGAGGCCACCGTGCCGCACTAAAAGGCAGCACGTTTGGTTTGGACGGAGGATTCTTTAAAGGCTGTCCTGTCGCGCTTCCAGGGCTGAGAAAGGAGTCTAGGATTCATGCCAACAACTCTTATTCTCCGAGGACCAGGTCTGACCTGTGCTCTTAGGAGCCCGACTTCCGAGGCTGGCACTGGGGAGGCGAGGGGAGCCGGATGGCTGGTGTGAAGGGCAGGGGGAAGGATGCCTTGTCCTTCCAGGCAGGCTCCCTGGGGAAAGGGCTGTAGTGGGCTCCATCTCCCAGGTGGCCAGACCAGGCCCTGCACCCAGCGAGTGTCCACACGAGATGTGAACCCAACGCGCCTGACCTCCAAGGCCAGCTGCTTCTTTCTACCTCCTGCGCTCTGGACATGGGGCTGAGCTTTCAGACCGGCTCTACCACCAACTGCTGGACCAGCAGCCCATCTGGGGTCTGAGGTCTCTTTGGGGCCAGAAGAGCCCAGGAACCCATGGGTGGACTGTCCTAAGGAAGAGAGCCTCTTTCTTGCCCTTGACTCGCCAACTGGATCAACTGGGCAATACCCAGAGCTTTGTCACAAGGGGACAAATGACCTTTGGGGTGATCTGTGGCAGCCTGGCCCATCTGACAGGCCAGGAGCTTACTGTCAAGTTAGCAGAATATGGTTCATCATTATTATCTTCTGATAGGAGTCTGGAGACTCCTGTGGGTTAGGCAATGGGCTGCCAACTGCTAGGTCAGTAGTTCAACTCCACTAGCCATTCCCAGGAAGAAATGTGAGGTGGTCTGTTATTACGATTTACCGCCGGGGAAACGCTATACAGGCTCAGTATAATTTAGAGTCGGCTTGATGGCAGTGGGGTTTTTTTTGGTTTATATCCTCTGAGGTGTCTCCTGCAGAAGAGATGTGTAGTCTTGGACACATGGAGGGGCTGGTCTACTGTGTCCTACAGGTCAGCTGTGAGAAGGAATCACCTTGAAGGGAGTGGATACCATCCTCTCGGCACCTGCTGCAGGTTCTTGCGGCAGGGCCCAGGGCCCAGGGTCCCCTTTGACAGGCAAGGACACAGATGGGAGTGTGCAACAGTGGGAGCCCCAGGTCCCTAGGAGCAAATGCCTGGCAGAGGTGAGACCATTTGGGGAGTTGGACAGCTGGTAAGCAGGCAGCAGCGTGGAATTAATAGCACAGGGGACCCCAGGCCAAGCTAATCAGGAGCCTGATGGCTCTGTGGTCTGTCACACGTTGATGGATGAGGATGAGGCCTAGTGGGGACCTCGGATGGACTTGGGCTCCAAACTGACAGGGGAGGTTCGGGGCATAAGTGGGGTGGGGCTGAGTCCAGGTGGGCCAGAGGGGGAGGCCCTAAGAAGACCCCATAAAAATGCCTTTCCTGCAACAAAGGGTTTGGGGTCCCAGTTCTGTTACGTAGAGCTTGTGAGGCTTTGGGCAATTAACATCATGGTTCTGCGCCTTGAGTCCCCATGCTGCAAAATACCTACAATCATCTATGACCAATAGTGTTTCTAGACTAGGAAGAAAGGCCTGGTGATCCACATATGAGAATCCCTCCAGGAAAACTAACGGGCCGCAGTGACTTGATCCCGCTCTGCCCAGGGTCTTGATGAATATGGTGAGTGAATGGCATCCACAGTGATCCAGGACAGTGCCTCATGGACAGCCTGGTGATGACTGGAGAGCCGGGGCCAGGCCTCTCTCCCAGGAGGCAACTGGTGAGATGCTCCTGGCATCCACCCCCTTAGGGTGCTGTGACTACGATGCCATGGCAGTTGCCATGCTGCCATGGTCCTCGCGATTTCACGAGATGCACCATGCTCCCCAGGTCAGTGCTGGGGCATCAAGAAATGGATCGGCAGTGGCGGCAGTTATGATGTCTGACCGTCTGCCGGGAAACCTGGATTTCAATGCCAGGTTTACCCCCTGCTGCCCCCAGGGCCTTTGCACACGCTGTTCTTTTGCACACTCCCTTTCCACTGTCTCGTGGTTAAATCCCCGTGCTTCAGGTCCCAGTTCCAAAGCCTCTTTCTCAACAAAGTCATCCTGACCCTTGGCCAGAAGTTAGCTGTGGTGCTGAGTATCTCAAGGGTAGCCCTAACACACCTTTTCACAGAACTGATCACAAAGGCAATTTGCTGATTATCTGTGTGGTTAGTGAAATGTTTGTCTTTCCAACTGGACGGGGAGCTACAGGATGGCCACGTCTGCCGCCTCCTTAGTATCTGGCCCAGTGCCCAGCACATTTTAAATCCAAATCCCCAAAATAAACTCACTGCCATCGGGTCGATTCTGACCCATGGCTATGCTATAAGGCAGGGTAGAACTCGCGCCCGCCG